CTTTCTGTATTTGTTTCACAGATTTGAACTTCTCAGTTTGGAAGTGTACTTTACGTAGTGCCAGCCCAGTTTATTGTAAACGTTGATATGGCATGCTTATCCCAAAATTTTAAACTAAAGTTAAGAATTAGCTAATTCACGATAATCTCAAAATCGTCAGGAAAACAAAAAGACCTCCTTTTTCAAAGGTGGAGCAAAGCCTAATCAAAACCGAGGTTCTCAAATCTCACTTTATTTCCTTTTTACCCGTCTTTAGTCAAGGACACTTTAAGGTAGTATCTATGAACAGTAAAGTAAGACTTAGTCATCCAGACCTTACCAGAGGATTCTATCAATACAAAAAAAAAACTGATGGACTTGGAAATATTCTCTGTAGTTATTTCTTAATTAATGAATTATCTGTCTCTACAACTGGACCGTATAACCTATAGAGTGAACTAAAAAAAGAGGTATGTGAATTAGACGATATCTTGTTAACAATTCCCCTTCAAGTTGAAATATTTTCTTTACCTTTTATAGGAGGCAATCTTTGCCAAAAGTTATAACACAACGCCACACGTCTTCGTTTGTGCTTCTTACTCCAAAAAAGGAGGGAATCAAAGTCCAGTTCATAACAGCATAGCTGCCTGGGTAGAGGTTGGTAACTAGTGATGTCAGGATATCAAATTTCATATTAAATTAATAGTAGTATAGTAGAGAACTAATTAACCTTTTTTGTGGACGAATTTCGTTATTCTGCTAAAGAATACATAAACACCGATAATGTTATGACCTTTTGTCTTTATTCCTTGAATAGTCACCTGTGAATAATCATAATAATAATAATAACAACAATAATAATAATTATTATTATTATATTTATAATCATAATCATAACATATTTAACCAAGGTAAACCTGTCAGTGAAAGCTGTTATAAATGGGGAGAACGATACCAATTTCAGCATTGAAGAATACAGGCAACTACATCAAATAAAGATAAAAATAAGTAGTTACAGGTGTATACTGGTGCTTGGGCACCAGTAAAAAAAGTGCCTTTCTTAGCAGATTCTGTGCGTACTGCAGAAATTAAAGTATCTAAATATAGGTAAAACCTCATTAACATAGGTCGTGTGCCATTTTAAGGTGGTTTAACCGGTTCACACTGGGGCTTTCTACAACTTGTTAGGGCAACAAATGCGTTGCTTTTTGATTGGTTGACTAAAAAAAGTAAAGTATTCAGTTGTTGATTAATGCTGTCAAAGTAATAAACGCTAGCTCCCCTTTGACATGAAATCGCTGAGTAAGTATCCAGTTCTGCTGCTTTCATTGCCCAACAATTTTTTCCAGTTTAGGTTCTCTGATCCTTGGCGAGCAAATCGTGCATATTGATGAGTTCGAAGACAAACTAGCTCTTTCTAATAATAATCCGAGTTTTAAACTTACCCGAGACCCCCTGCTTCTTATCCACTATTCAGTTTTTTCGCATCCTCGGAGACCCAGGGGCAGATAGTAGGGGCGAGGGACAGTCCAAACGGGCGGAAAAATATGACACGAAGAAAAGTAAAGAACACCGAGAAGAGCCCCAGGGGACAATGTCTTACCAGACCAGTTCCAAACGGTCGCCGCAGTTCTGCCTTCTGATTGGGCAGGAAAACACAAAAGTTTTCTGGCACCAATCAGAAGTCAGAACGGCAGCGACCGTTTGGAACTGGTCTGGTAAGACGTTGTCCCCAGGAGCTCTTCTCGCCTTTCTTTACTTTTCTTCGTGCCATATTTTTCGGCCCGTTTAGACTTTCCTTCGCCCCCACTATCTGCCCCTGGGTCTCCAAGGATGGTTTTTTCGCTTCACCTTCCTTTTTTGATTTTCCTTTCAGCACGAACACCACCACCACAGCCTCCAGAATCACGTTTTCTTCTTTTTTTCCGGTCCTCCTCCACCACCACCACATTACTATTGTTTTCCCACCACCACCATCTTTCTATTGTTTTCCTTTTCCTCCACCACCACCACCACCACCACCACCACCACATTCCAATGCGTATTTCCACCACTACCACCACATTCCAAAGCGTATTTTAGTACTAATGTTTAGTGCTTTTGCATACAGTATATTAGCAGGAAAGGATTTCGGGTTTGTGTCAAAGAACTGTATGAGGCAAAATACGACCCACTTTTCATATCCTACATAGTTTTGTCAGGTAAGAACTTTACTGCAAAAAAAAAAAAAAAAANGACAATGTCTTACCAGACCAGTTCCAAACGGTCGCCGCAGTTCTGCCTTCTGATTGGGCAGGAAAACACAAAAGTTTTCTGGCACCAATCAGAAGTCAGAACGGCAGCGACCGTTTGGAACTGGTCTGGTAAGACGTTGTCCCCAGGAGCTCTTCTCGCCTTTCTTTACTTTTCTTCGTGCCATATTTTTCGGCCCGTTTAGACTTTCCTTCGCCCCCACTATCTGCCCCTGGGTCTCCAAGGATGGTTTTTTCGCTTCACCTTCCTTTTTTGATTTTCCTTTCAGCACGAACACCACCACCACAGCCTCCAGAATCACGTTTTCTTCTTTTTTTCCGGTCCTCCTCCACCACCACCACATTACTATTGTTTTCCCACCACCACCATCTTTCTATTGTTTTCCTTTTCCTCCACCACCACCACCACCACCACCACCACCACATTCCAATGCGTATTTCCACCACTACCACCACATTCCAAAGCGTATTTTAGTACTAATGTTTAGTGCTTTTGCATACAGTATATTAGCAGGAAAGGATTTCGGGTTTGTGTCAAAGAACTGTATGAGGCAAAATACGACCCACTTTTCATATCCTACATAGTTTTGTCAGGTAAGAACTTTACTGCAAAAAAAAAAAAAAAAAGATTTTTTGCGGTATATCTTTCAATATTGTCTCTTATTTGTGACTCCATGCCGTGATTTATACGCACAGATATCTGTCCAGATGGATGGGATTACTTCAACGGATACTGCTATTTAACGAGCACTGTATGCGCACCTTGGGTGA